GACTGTGGGAAATTTCCCTACCCTCTTTCTTCCTCAGTTTCCTCAGCTGTAAAATGGGGGGTACTAATGGCACCTACTTTATAAAGTTTTTGAGTATTAAATAACATTTACAAAGTAGTTAGACAATATATGGCACACAAAATGCGTTAAATCAATAAAATAAATCCATCTGGATTTCAGATGTAATGTTTGAGGAAATCTGACATATTGAAGAATGTCAGCTGGTTGATATATGATTACAAAATGTGTCCTTGAGTAAATGAGTTTAAGTTTGATTATTATTACTTTAGAGATAAAAGAAAAATTTGCTAAGTTTGAAAAAGAGTATTGCAATATTTAAGAACCAATATTTAAGAACACCTTGAAATATGTTAGATTCATAAGTTTACATTTTTAAGATTTAGAGTTTTATGAGTGCTTAAAGATTTGCTTGTAGGACACTGAAGTACTAAAACAAGAGAAGAGATTAAGATTATTGTTGTGTTGACTGTTGTCATTTTTTTTATTTGACAATATAATCCACCAAATTAAAGACTAAAAAAAAGTTTTGGAATAACTAAAATGGCATGACCCAATAAATTAAATAAAAAAATAAATTAAATAGCACGAAACAGTACTGACATGTTAGATTTTTAAACAGGCAGGTTGAAATAATAAACATATTCACAGAAAAAAGATTGAAAATATTATTTTCCCTTAATTGTAGGCTCATATGTAATTTTATTTTAAAATTGTTTTACTGAATATTCCAAACTCCCTAAAATGAGTGTTATTTCTTCGAAAATGAGAAAAAGAAATGTACCTCTAAACACAAGGGACTCTTCAAGAAAATGTTGGAATTTTTTTCTTTTAATAAAAGCTTAGAATAAAGAAAAATTTTTAAAAACCTCTTTCTACAGATGCTCAGAGAAGATTCTGCTGAATGAGGAATATTTTCAATTCCAATTTTTTTCTATTAAAATGTTAGAATATTTCAACTCAAAAAAAAGAAAAGAAAAAGAAAAGCTTAGGACAGTTTAGGATAGTTATGGCAGCCCTAACAAAGTAATACATAGGTGACAGCTGCCAAAATTAAATTTCACTCCCTCCTACCAAGAAGAGATTTAAGACAAACATATGGAAGGAGCCTAATATGGTTTTACAGTATAGACTGTGATCTTCCCATAAGAGCTATTTTATTCTAAGGAAGTTGGAAATTTCTTTTAATAATCTCAACAATAATTTATTTTCACTTTCCCCTATAATTTTAATAACAGTATTTTACACTTGTATAGCATGCAATTATTTCATTCATATTTGTTACTTCATCTGGTCCTTACGGCTTTCTCTATAAAACAAATCGGAATGCAGTAACAGAGACAACTGAAACCAAATCCTCTGGCCCAGGTTTCAGATCTTTCCACTGTAGCTCAATGCTTTCCAAACTTGTAATAACGCCCCCTGTTTTAGTAAGAACAGAGATAGTTTACTTTATACAATACTTATCAGAAACCCTTACAATTTCAACAGTAGAAAAGATCTGAATCTGAAGAAAACAGTATCTTCCAGTAAAGTAAATTATAATATATATTTTTTAAATAACACACAGCCAGCCTTTCCTAAGAATGTTTAGTATCTCGGGCACCGTTGTAAGTGCTTTACAAGGATTAACTCAATCCTCACAACTCTCTGAGGTAGGTGGGTACTATTACAAACACTATTTCAGAGACACAGACACTGATGAGTACTTTATCCAAGTCAGTAAATGACTGACTAGGAGCTAGGATTTGAAACCAAGGAAAGACTGACTCCAAATCCCACTTTTTAAACTACTACCCCATGAAGTAGAGCTGACCCTTGAACAATGCAGGTTAGGGGCATGACCTCTCACACTGTACAAACTGTATATGCCTCCGAATACTCAAATTCCCAAACGTGGAGCTGACCCTTGGATAACACAGGCTTAAAACTGTGAGGGTCAACAAACTGCAATCATTTGAAAAAAATTCCATATATGTGAAACCATGTAGTTCAAGCCCAGATTGTTCAAGAGTCAACTATATAATGAGGGAGCTATTAAGCATAAATCTTCATGGCTTTGGAGTCAGCCAGATTTAAGTTTGAACACTGACCACATACTAGGTTTATGACTTTTGGCAAGTTTAAGCTTGTTGTGTCCTAGATTCCTCAGTTATAAAATGGAGATAAATAAAATGAGATGACGAACATAAAAACATTTAGTACAGCATCTGGCATATAATAATGTCTATGAATTAATAAATCCTTACTACAGTATTTCTAATTCTGCTTTTCATGAATATAAAAGAACAATCCAACAAATGTCTAATTTGGGGGCCCTAAGCAAAAATATCAAAAAGGTTCTCTTCTTTCCTTCCCAATATTCCAGAAATGCATATACTATTCCAATAATCTCACTTCCTGTAGGAACACCAGGATATACTGAATCATGTTAGTAGTTACATCAGTCTTATATCCTGTCTCCCACAGAGATACCTAATAACTTTGGTAAGGACAACAGTATAGTTATGTGACAACTTCAAAAGATTCTGGACATTGCTCAAACGTCTAACATAATTAAAATTAATCAATATACTTAACCTTTACTGAATCTTTAAAAAACATCTCTTGGGATTATAAGAAAACTACCTATTTGCTCTTATTTTCCTTTTACTATTTATTTCAAGCCTCAGACAGAGTTCCTTATTTTAGTATTCCCACTCTTCATAATTTATATGGTTCGATCACATTCTCCTTCAATCTCCATTTTCCGCAAATAATCCTGCTTTTGTAGTCATGTGAAAGTCTCTCCATTTTCTTCATCTCCTCATAACTTAATTTCTCTGGACCTTTCTTCCATTTTTGCAGCATTTTTCTTGAGATGACTTATTGGGAAGAACACTGGGCTAGGAGCCAGGAGTCCTAGTGCACTCTGCCATCTCATCTCTCAGATTCTTTAGCTGAAAAATGAGAGGATTGCACTAGATAAATTTGTAATAAGCCTCCTTATATCTCTAAGCTTTATACTTCTATGACTCTGGGTATTCCAACCAGAAATCAATCATTTTCCAACTATTTCCCTAAATTTTTTACTCCCGTTAGCCAAGGAGGGGCAGGCATGTTCAGACTTGGGAGGCAGAGGAAGACATGATTCGTAATCATGAAGCCCAGGACTACAAAAGGAAAGACAATGTTTTATGAATCAACAGAAAAAGAAGGATTAAGAAGAGAAATCAGACATTAAAAAGATACCAAAGAAAGAAAAAAGGTCAGAAACACACAGCAGAACTCTAACCTCATTCCTATGCATCTATTTGAAGAGGGACTAAGAAAACAGAAAAAGCTTTTGGCAGCAGAGGAGGTGATCCTGCCTTGCCTCAAGGGAGCAATGTAACTCTGTGCCATCTCTCCAGTGCTGCAGCTAAAAGAGCCTACCACAGTGCTTTGCACAAAACAGGCATTGCTAGGGTATTTGATGAGGGAACTAAAAGCCCTCATAAGTGCTACTGGTACTGCTACATGCCAGGAAATCTGAGAGCTCAGGGCCATGGGAATTACACAGCAGTGGCTGGCCTGGTTCTAAGGGAAGGAGACTTAGTTGAGAGTGGGAAATTAGGCACAATGGCATTGCTGGTCTGATAATATTGAAAATAGCCTCCAGAGGAAAAAAGCACAGATTATATAGGTGCTGGCTATCTCTAAACACCAAGGCAGTATTAGAAATATGTATGAAGTCATTCCCTACCCTGGTGTGAGTCCAAGAAAACACTTATCTTTCCTGAAGTTCTCTTCCTTGGCTTATGACTGGTAAGTGGGCAGGGGAGAATAAAGCAACGAAGGGATAAGGGAGCTGGGCTGTTCAAAAAATCCTCAGGCCAGCCCTATGGTGGTGTTGCTCAAAGTGTGGTCCCTGGAACACCAGTAACAGACTGAAGGACAGTACTTGCTTCAAGTGCATACGCAGGCACTCATCACAGATCTCTACAATCAAATTTCTCGGAGTGGTACTAGCATTTTTAAGGAGCAAATTTACATTTGAGAATTACTGTCCCAGAATTTGAGGGAGGGGACAGAGCTGAGAGTGAAGATCTTTGACTCTGGATTTGTCATAGTCCACTGATATTACTATAACCCTTTGTTTTGGAGCCATCAAAAAAAAAAAAAAAGCCCTCAATTTCTCAGGTAACAGCTGCAGCTCGCTGGTTGTTTAGCAGCCAACAAGGGCATTGTGAATGGGAAATGCATTTTCACGAACTGGTTAAATAGTTCCTCCACAGCCTTGTTTATCCTGTAGTTTGCTCGCCGGTTTATAAATAAATCGGTTCAACCAAGGATATTTTCTGAGAGTCATCCCAATTCCAGAACAGAAGAGGTTTTCTGATAGTGTAGAGCTAGGTGTGTAAACCTGAAGACACTGTCTGCTATAAAAAGTGAGGTTTTATCTAAAAGAAAATGATCTGGATGATCTGGTAAGGCTCTCCCAGCTCTTTTGCAGGCAGAGCCTCTGATAAAAGCTAGCTGTTTGTGGGTGGCAGAAAAAGAAGACTGAAGCAGGGGTGAAAAAAGCGAGCAAAATGCACTCTCTGCTCGAGTTTAGGAGTCCGACCAACTACATAATTTTTAATGAGTTCATTTAATTGCCATAAAATAATCGTGTCTGCAAATGTCTTATCAATAAACATTCCGAAGTTCTCATTTCTGGAGGGATAAAAACACCAAGGGCCTTCAAGAACCAGGCAAGTTATACTTCAGCTGTCCCCACGACTGTATTTACGACTTCCATACAGGTAAACCCTTCCCACGATCTTCAGACCTCACCCTCCGCACAAAAACAGGTGCCCAGAACCCATTTGCCGACATTTTTCCTCGCGATGATTTCAGTCCCGGAGCCTTTTCACAGGGGGGTGGGGGTCGGACCCTGCGAACTTCCGCCAGAGCAGCCTCTAGGGAAGACAGCCCCCGACACAAAGGCAAGTCTCCAGACCACACCTGCCGCCACTTACCTGCCGCTCCCCGCAGCGATCTGGTACCAGGGGCTTGAATTCGTGTGGGATGCGTTCACTCGAGCAGACCACACTAGGAAAAGCCGCCACGGGGACCGCCCGTACCGCAGCAGCGCGCGCCCCCTGCCCTGGCCGGCGCGCGGCCACGCGGCTGAATCACCCAGCACTTCAAGTTAAGAGTCCCCTCGGCGCGGGGCACGCCGGGAAAGCTGAGCTCTGGGCTGCGGCCCCACGGTGGAAGGTGTCGCCTTTCCTTCCTGGGACGGACGTACCACATGTTATAAGGAGGACAGTCTCACGCCTGCACCGCCAGGGTAGATTCCATTTCTGGGCTGCGGATACCCTCTTTTCAATTATTGAAGGTATAAAACGGAAAAGTTAGTCATCTGAGTGTAAAACTCAGCCCCAGGACAGCTAAAGCTTATAGAAAGTTATAGATCCCGGATTTCTTCTCCCTGCATTTGAAAGAAGGAGGTAGTAAGAACAATGGAATTGTTTAAACACGTTTTGCCTGGAACACTCTATCCTGGTTATGCATTCTGATCAAAAAAGGGAGGAAAAACACATTTTTCTCAAACCTTGACTTTAATGAAATTAGATGCTATAGCAAAGTTGATTTACAAATTTTAAGTCAACTGAAAGCAAATTATTGGAAAACTGGTTGTTTTATGAGAAAAATATTTCAACAACTAAAAAAAAACCTGTAAAACGAATGCTAAAAACATAAAAGGAAAGAAATAGTATTAATCCTGTCAAGACTTTCTAATGGCTTTTGTACTTTTTAAAAGTTATCATACTAATTAATTAAAATGTTACACTGGTTATGCAAACTTTTTGAAAATGTTGAAAACCATATAAATTAATAATAGCATGATTTCTTAAATTCTGAGTCAACTTTTTTGCTACAAAAGTCTCTAAAAACTAATTTGGGGGCTAAGATTAGGATCAGAATCCAAATATTAGTGATATGAGAAAATAGTTTGACTGTCATTCCAATAGGTTGCAAATGGTTGCTGGGCATTTATATAGCAAAATTGCATTTTCAAGGTCAAAAACATTAATTTACAAAAACTCAAAATGTTTTCATTATAATTTGATCTTAGTGGCCTAGAAGTCATTCCCCATTTGTCTTTCACTTCACTTTAAATGACTTTAAAGCATCCAGTACTGTGTTTGAATCAGGATGGGCTATATTATGATGCTTCACTAGTCACGTGAAGGAAGGGCAGGTGACTATAGGGCAGCTTACCTCCAAGTGGTGACTCAGCAATCTCAGCAGCTTCCATCTCTGGCACTGACAACCCAACACTAGACTGGCAGAAGAGCTAGATTGGAGAATGAGCCTAATTGGAGAATCCTGCCAAGGCTTTTCTTTGTCTCATCCAGAAGTGAACCTTTCACTTCTGACATTTCATTGGCCTGAACTAGTTAGTTACGCGGCTCAGCCTGGTTAAGAAGGCTGGGAGGTATCACTTCCTGTGTGCCTGGGGAAGAGGAATGAGAAAAGTGGTCTGGTGAACACATAGCATTGTGTCTGCCACAGTGTTCAATAGTAAAAATAAATAGAAGCAATCTGAGTTGAAAAAATAAATATAAATTATAAAAAATATATAAATAATTTAATTGAAAAGTTTGGATCTTTTTTATAGGATCCAAACTTTCACTTCTCCATGTTACTAAAGTAACATGGAGGATTATTCAAACTAATGCCTTTATTTCCATTTCTATAAAGTACAGTGTACAGTCTTCATGTCAAGGAAAAGAAAGGAAAAAAAAAACCTTTCTAATGTTCTTGCAAGAATTCTTAAATTCTTCCTTTCTGGACAGGTTTCTCTCTGCAGGTTTGTAATATACAAAAATCTGGCGCAAAGGATGGAGAACCAGGCTAAGGTTATGTGGTTCTATTTTTGTCTATAATAGTTTATCAGACCTGATATTTTTTTTTAAAGTAGACATCAAGGAGACGGAGTATAACAAATGCATATTCACAGAAAGCACAGGTGTATGCTGATTTTATCATTTTATTTCTACTTTAGTTCATCTCCAAAACATGAACCTCTCAGATGTATTTATATGTGAAACTGAAACCTTTCTAATGTCAGATTGGCAGACCTGGAATTTTCAGTTGTCTTAATGGCCAATATCAAAAGGCAATACAGTTCATCTCATTAACTGTTATTTAAGTCTCCTTAAATATAACATCTATCAACAGTAATTATTACAAAGCATTTTCCCAGTGTCTTACATCACTTAAATTTTTTAGCAATTCAGGGAGATTTGATTACTCAGATTTACAAATGAAAAAAGCAAGACAAAAACAAAGTATCTAAGGCCATTAAATTACCAAGTGGTGCTGAAGAACTGAGAGCCCAGACCATCTGACCCCAAAGTTCTTGCTGGACACTCAGTGAGGTGTGGCCCTTCCACCTGACTGCGTCCAGGAGAACGGAGCCCTTCCAGGAAGCACCATAAATGCCTTCGGCTGTTACCACTAAACAACTCATTTAAGGTTGACTATCTTAAAATGAAAATATTTTTAAAGCCATAGCTAGTATCAATTATCATAGAAGAAACTAATTATTCTTTCTATATACTATATCATATATACAGTAGTAAATATAAAAACCCCCAAAGTCCCACGGTTTTTGAACTCTCAAAGTAATTATGCTTGCAATTTTTGAACTAAATATTTGGGTTAGTTGTATGATCTCTAGGTCACTGCATATCAAATGATAATATTTGAAAGAATAGTCACTTTCATTTGCCGCCCAAATTGTGCTCAGATATAGATTGAAATAGTTAATTTGTGACTTTGTATAGGGAAGCCAGCCAGAAGCCTGCATACTGACCTAAAATAGATTCACAAGAATCGTTTTTATTTCACTTCCATCAGTTCACCTTTGTTAACCATCTTTTCATGATGTCACAAAGGCTTATGACCAGCAGGAAACAGACTGGACCCTGAATACAAGAATTTTAAGTTTCTTAGTGGCTGGAATTTACTACTAAATCTTTGTTAATATACATTTGCTTTACATACAACTTCAGTGTACCTCAGTCTAATTTATAGGGAATGTCTCATATGCAAATTCAACGAACAAGTAGTCACAGTCCAAAGGCATAGGACCCCAAGAAAACTACATAAATGATGATGGCAGGATCTCAACTCCAAAGGAACTTTAAAAAGTTAAGTTTTGTTATTTGGGTAACCAAATAAGACAAAAGGAAAGGGAATCTACATAAAAGTACTCCTCTATTACGTGAAAGAGAAATGATAGAATGTCCCAATTTTGCAACCTGTGAATTAGCAGATATAGGCATTATGCATCAAGATTCTCAAAGATCATAGAGAGAACTAGGCATTCTGTGCTTCTTGAGGAAAAGCCATCCCACCACCTAAAATGTTGCTAATGGGATTGAACCTAAATCTGATCTAGAATTGAGATCCAGCAGCCAGTTCACAGGAAACACAGGGAACAAAGCAACATGTTGACCTGCACCATGGTCATGCAATTTGCAAAGTCCTGGCTATGGAAGACTCAGAAGTCTTCTTCTGAGAAGACTCAGGAAAGGTCAGAAGACCTTTCTCTGCTCCTTAAGAGATAAATTGTAAAGTTAAAAAAAAACACAATATATATCAGAAAAATTTTAAAGCGTGTGTATGGGGGCGAGAGACTATACTGCCTAGGGGTAAACATTTGGTGGTAAAACCATTGAAGGAAAAGGGACATGAAAGGGATCATTGTAAAAGTTAGGATGATGGTTACTTATTAGGTGGTAGTGGTAGGGAAGAAGTTGTGATTGAGGAGGGGAACGTGGAAGGGGCTTCTAACGGTAGGTAGTAAAGTCCTATTTTTTGATCTGGTAGTAGTTACAAGGGTGTTTGCCTTTATAAGGTTCCTTAAGGCAAACATTTCCTTTGGGTTGTCTTCTGTTTGTGTGTTTCTTTTATTTTATGATAAAAATATTTTTATAAAAAAGTTTGGAGGGTGAGGCCAGTCCTACCTAAGAGCTGAAATATATTTACTCCACACAGAGCTATTTGCAAATATATCCGTTTGGTTTCCTGGGACAATATTAAGCTTAAATTACTTTAAAAAGAAAAATAACTGCTTTTAAAAGAACAAATCCTTTAAAATATATTCCATATTTTAATATAATTTTGGAATTTTATTTAGATATCCTTTTTTTAGAACATAATGGACAAGAAGGTAGTAGAGTGTATTTTGAGGGGTAGAGGAAAAAAAGATGAAATGATGAAAGTAAGAGACTAGAACATTGTTTTGAAGCTTAATGGTTAAAGTTTAGTAGTGGTCAGGAGAGTAATCTGTACACATATCTCACTGATATCTTGATGAGGGCATGAGCTCCTCTTCCTTCCCCCCCCCCCCCCCCCGCATGCCAGGACGGTGTCAGGACTGTGGGACTTTGTAAAAGTACATAGAATGCTCGGCTTGAAGTTCAAGTATCAAATTAACCTGCGTAAACAGGAGTCCTGTGAGGAGCCGGAATGGGGGAGTCAGAAAATGTAGAAGTATGTTACCCTGGACTGAGGCAGAGGCTGGGTGTAAACCGATGATATGCTTATCTGTCATTCCTCCTGTTACTAGTTTACAGACTGACCTTCCCAACCCATGCCTGGCTCTGCTGGCTCATGTTTCCCATGTTTGTGAACACAATACCTGAACCCAGTACTGAGAATGCTGGGAATTTTTTTTAAAACTTTGTATGAGTATTAAACTGCATTTGAAAAAGAAAACAAACAGACAAGCCCCAAAGTATATATTCTTCAAAGTAGGTTTTCAACCAGTGGACTTTGGGCTTATGACAAAATAGATCCTATTCACTTACTGAGCTGCCACAGAAAACCATGAGATTCTTTTACCTTGCTCAAATCACACCTCCTTCTTTCCCCAAACTTTCAATAACTGAGGAAAGGCAAGATCTGTTTACCAAAGCATATGTCCTATTCCCTTACCTCCACTCTGAGAAATTTTATAATGGAAAACAAACAAATAAGGGGAACTAGGCCAATTCAGAAAGATTTCTCCCGATTAACCAAGAGCCCAAAGTGCTCTTGCTTCTTTGGAGTTGTGATGCCTGCTTGGAAATGAGTCAGTGTCTGTGTGAGAACAAGGGACATGAAAAGGAAAACGTGAAG